GTAGCAAATAAGCAATGTTAACATTGCTTATTTGCTACGGCTCTAGTATAAGAAACTATAGTCACTATATGTACAAGAGTGAATAAGTGACCAGAATAAATAAATCCGATAAAATAGAAAAAGGAATGAAACAATAAATATGACTGTGCACACGTTTATGGTTAGCAGTGTTTAAAACAGAGAAAATTCATACCATAAATACAAATATACTTGAAAGATTACTTAAGATCGTCGACTAGAAAGTCAAACATTCGCCTATTTTCTGCACTGATCCGTATAGTATATATAAAATGAGTCTGGCTTTGTAGTGTAAACTGACTCTCGAGGTTGCATTTCGTTCAGTATTCAACACTCTATAAAACTACATCTGACTTGGCCGGTAAATGTAAGTAATCGAGATTGAAGCTTCGCAGTATTTCTTCTATATTCTTCTATATTATATTTTCTATTTTATCTATTTCTTCTATATTTTATTTTAAACAAACACCCCTCACCCTCACCCTCTGAAGCTCAAATGTCGTTGCGCCTAAATGTCGCGCGCCCAAGTGGCGTGCGCCCAAGTGGCGTGCGCCCAAGTGGCGTGCGCCCAAGTGGCGTGCGCCCAAGTGGCGTGCGCCCAAGTGGCGTGCGCCCAAGTGNCGCCCAAGTGGCGTGCGCCCAAGTGGCGTGCGCCCAAGTGGCGTGCGCCCAAGTGGCGTGCGCCCAAGTGGCGTGCGCCCAAGTGGCGTGCGCCCAAGTGGCGTGCGCCCAAGTGGCGTGCGCCCAAGTGGCGTGCGCCCAAATGTCGGTGCGCCTAAATGCCGCGCACCCAAATGTCGTTGCGCCTAAATGTCGTGTAATACATTGTGCGCCCAAATGTCGCGCGTACAGAGTTGTGATTTTTTTAATTTTGCCTGTTTTCCGCTGACGTGAGAAAATGCGTAAAATGCCCATAACTCCCCAAGGGAAAAGTCTCCGCCCGAATCCTCTTAGGCTTTTTACCCACTCCACATGCCCTATCGATCCACGCAAGAACGAACGAAATCGGAGTGCTTCATCTCCATAGGTTTCCTCGTGAGCGAAAAATCTATCAAAACTACTTCGACGTCTTTGGAAATGTCTTGCAGCCTATCAGCAACGCCAATCATATGGTGATATTTTGAAACTATTTTTTAGTAACTTTTGTAAAGAAGAAATTTCAACACATCGAAAAATAACAAATACAAATATAAGTGTGATGTGAAAAGTATCAGTAGCAACAAGTTACAGTTACAGTTGATAAACAGTCCTGTCGGGTTTTGCTGTAATTTTTTCGAAATATTTCTGTTGTATTTACAAATTAATTAATTAACTACCCATTAACCGCCATTCGACGCGGCTCCTATTACTCTACTTTGAGTATAAAAACGAAGATGTTTGGTTAAAGATTCAAGCTTCTAAAAACCCTTTTTAAATCGGTAACGCTGTGACATAAAAAGGTCATAAATTCTAACTACTTCTCATTAAAGTGCAAATTTCAGCGAATTTAGAAGAACTAATAAAAAGTATCTCGAGCAAAGTTTATGGGGGAGCTAACGGGCTTTCTTTTGGAAAAAATAACTTTTTTCCAAACCCTTCCGCACGCTTAAACTTTCTTCAAAAGCTTAAATGCATGGTATTTGCAAATGGTTTTGCCATATGTTTATTGACTATTGCATCGAATAAAACGGTCTCTAAATTATCACTGGCTATGCCTTCTTCTATAAATTTCACTGCTACTTCACGAGCCCATGAGGTTGACAAAAACTTTTTAATTGAATATTGTAGGAAAAGTCACCAAACAGTCGCCTCTTTTATCTGCAATCAGATGGTCAACATTCAATTATCATTCTTATATATCTAAAATGATTATATTTCACAATATGAGTTGAAATAAGTATCGTCTATTTACTTGTGACGATAAAAATTGTTTTCTTTGAACTCAAAACATAATAATTCGAGGTCAAAGTATCCTAGAGACAGAAAGATAAAAAATGTAAACTGTGAAGAATTCTCTTCTCGCTGTTTATTTTTAGAGAGTATTACATTATTCTCACAGAAAGTCATACGGTTCATATTCTCCGTCTTTGTTTAAAGTAGTTTCCATCATCATTAATTACAGTCCCTTTGGCGTAGATTGAACAGCTTTTAAAATTTCGTTCTAAGCTTAAAAGCGTGAAATTTTTTATAGTTATTAATGGTATGTTTGGCTTAGAATAAAACTTTATACTTTCTTTAAAAGTGTTGAAATAGTAAACTCCGTCTAGAACTACCTTATTCTTCCTTCTTCTAACAGGACTTCTCTTATTCTGAGCATATGGTTTGTTTAGTCGAGCATATTGATAAACAAGTGCAAAGAATTCTCTCTATTACAGAAAAAAATTATGTAACAAGATGCATACCTTATAAAACATATACAAAAAACATGTGTTTTTAGTTTTTCAAATTTTCCTTTTATTTTAACTTGAGTTACGATTGTTGTTACTGTATTTAACGCTTGTATTTTCTTATCTCGTTCTTTATATTTACACTTTTCTGAGTGTTTTAGTGTACTGGTTTAAGCTGTGTGTGTCTGTTGATTCTCTGATACCACTTCTCTTTATTCATTGTTTCTCTTCGCCATTTTTTTATCCCAAATTTGGCTAGCTTATTCGTAATTTTATCTTCCCACCGTTTTCTTACACCGGTGTTTAATAGTCTTCGACAGTCGGGAAAACAAGAAAACATTATCTGTGTCAAAAATCTCTGCTTTCCATTAGCGTCGTCCGTTCTATTTACATGCCCGAACCATCTGAGCCGATTTGTTCTCATAATGTCTTCAACAGCTGGTTACCCAGTTAAATCCATTACTTTGTTATTCGGCATACTATCTCCCAATGCCACGCCAATTAATGTTCTCAGACAGGTCATATAAAAAGTCTTTAACCGGTTCTCCTGAGCCACAGTTAGAGACTAAACTTCACTTCCGTACAGCAAAACAGGTAGCACACATGCATGAAATATACGAACTTTCGCTTCAATTAATATACTTCTCCGGTGCCAAATTGCATTTCGAAGCATGTTAAAAGCCATAGACGTTTTTATAACCCTAGTTTCTATTTCTTGTTCCTATGACTGGACCCTAGTCTCAAAATATTCGAAGTACGTGCAGCTGATATAAAAAAGATTGTAAATGTATTATCTAACTTTTTTAACCAAAGTTTTATCATTTAGATTTGCTGCTTACAGGCCTAATGAAAGTGAAATTTTCGCCTTAACATTTTATTTTCGAAAGAACAAATGCCTTGCTGTATATCAAACGTAACAACGAAAGAAAATTATAATAACTAGACATAAGACGAAAAGAACGAAAAAATATAACGTTATTCTTTCATCTCATTTCTACTTTTTTTTCACTTCTTTCTCTAATTTCTTTTAATGATCGTGTTATTCTTCTCTCTGATGCTTACGTGACACGACATTACCGCGAATACAGAAAACGACATTACCGCGAACGACATTACCGCGAACGACTTTACCGCGAATGCAAAAAACGACATTACAGTGAACGACGTTACCGCGAAGACTCGTTTATTGGAAAAGAAGAATAAATGAGCCTGGTTTTGTACTTTGTATATCA